TGAAGAGGCTGCATTTCTGATCCCGAGAATGTGAGGTCCGTCAAGCACTGTTTACTGTCTGATTATGCCGTAACGGACCGTAGCTCTAAAATCACCAAGGACAGTTCCTATGATGCTCTAGTTGCCCTTTTACAACGGGCTAAAAGCTCAGACATAATTGTACTTGTGGATGAAATAGGTGGACTGAGAGACGTTCAGGTCCAATTGGGTAGTCGTCTTGGTTTGGATACGAGACGCACGGGCAACGGAGAACGCCTGCTTAAGATGTGTGTCGTTCTTTTGCAGTACGAGCGTGGAGAACGGTGAGAACCGCCTGACAACGTAGTGCCCACCAACGAACCCGCCCTGAATTCAAACATACCACATCGCCATCAGTTACCGGTGGCGGGGGTCCATTACTGCCGTCCCTTCCTTCAGGAATACCAGCAAAGACCACAAACATGCACTTGTTCGCTGCTGCTTTCCACGTCTACGAGAAACCTGCGGTCAGCTATAGCAGCGATGGGGAATACGTAGAAGTGTGGAAGAGGGGCGTTGGCAGTAGCATAGTCCCACCTACCCGCCCTGCTGTATGCAGTAGATGAGACGGTTCGGCTGATGACAACACGCGACGGTCGACGTGGTAGGACAGTGTTCCTAGTTGTGGAATTGATATTTGTATGTGGGCTGGGGTACTACTAGGATAAAACAGGAAGAGGATCAGGGTCCTCTGCCGGAATTTGGCTGAAGCCTAACCCCATGGCAGAGGTATTTAGCGGGCAATGCGAGTAAGTTATCATATATGTAGAAAAAAGGAGCCACGCATGTTCCAACCCTTAATCCGGAGGGCCAAGATATTGTGTTGGTCAGGTCTCTAACCATTGACTGACCGGGTACGAGACGCTGTAAGTGTCACATGAACGCCACCCGGCATGGCTCAGTGCATCACGTTACCATAAAATCCGTCACATCGCAATAAGGTCGAGTCTCTTTGTGACTGGGTCCCCTGATGGTACCATGCTTCTGCTGCTGACGGATTACTCCAGGCTCCAAAAACAACTAAACCTGACGCATCATCCGATGCCAGATGAAACTGAGTGCCCGTGCAGACCGACAAGCTCGGTGAACCCAAAAGAATGGAATATGCGGAAAATACTGCAAATGTCAGCAGCCTGTTACACTTGATTAGTTTGACTGGTTCTTGGAAGCACCTTGTCGGCGAAGCTAACACCGAGCAAAAAGGATCTGGGGTATCCAGCAAACGAGAAGGTTTAGACCGTTACGTACAGCACGTTCGATGGTACATCGAACAACGGTTCAGTTGGCCACCTGCTATATTCAATAAAGACACTGCCTTTAAAAGAAACACGGACTGTGAATATGGAGACAATTTTAGTCTCGGGGTATTCAAACGGATATCCCTAATCAAGCGCCATCGTGCTGCCGGTCCTGACGAACTTCCACGTGTTCCGTTCAAGGATAGTAGTGAATTCCGAGAGACCGGTGCTGCTCCGCGTGCCTCCGAGCAAATTACAAAGCCATTTATCATTTCTTTGAACTTCAAGGTTCACAATGTAATTGAGAAAATTTTGTGGTTGTACGGTAGTGAAGCATCAAACTCAACATTGACGCTGTCTCTAATGGTGAGGTTACCGCTAGGTGCCTTCATAGTTCTTTGTTTCGGTCGCTTTCATTGAGGACATGGCTGGACAGAAAGAGTCCTGCGAGACAGACGGCACGCGACGTGCATGTCCTCTCCAAGGTAACCTGCGAAGCGTTAGTATCCATCGCGTCCAAGGTACTGTCACTATTTCACGCCGGTTAGTCGACTAGTGGGATAGGCAGATTTGTGAAAGTCAAGTTGGGTCTTACCCAGACCGAGGAAGCAACTACAATACCTTCACTTAGAGATAACTTAAACGGTATCACTATCTCAAAAGTCATGGTTGTACGGCAGTGAAGCATCGGTGTTGAACACTGATGTCATGCTGTCGATGATGACTGACTCTCGATCGTCGGAAATTAGGGCGGTGTTTTGTGACTAAAGGGGTTTGTCATAAAGCTATACCCCTTATGAGGGCACTGTATGTGAACTGGGCGTGCGGAAATACAGCGAGCTTTCGCCTGAGTTCACCTCAACCAGTGGTGCAAGATAAGACTGCCCTCTCATCATTCCTCTTCCGCGATATATGTGCTGCTCGGGCTTCAAAGACCGCACTGGTAAGAACATGCACTTCGCGTGCCAGAGAACCATTTGCTTCACAGAGCTGTTTTTCCCTGCCCTGAATCGGGTGGAAGCGACCGAGAGATGAACAGTTTGTGATATGACAACGAAGTATGGGAACACGTGGAAATGTAAGGAACGTGTTCGACAGCAACACTGGGACATATTCACACACCTGCCGAATATAAGAAACCAAAGTAAGCCCACGACCCCGAAGCGGCGCTAAAAACGTTCAGTCTGATAGAAGTCGTGACCACTGTGCCGCCTTAAAGAAGCGTCCCCCATATTGAACCAGTAGAGGAGAACATCGACCCAAAAGATCGCACGAAGCAGTCACACTGTGCCGTAATTTGGAACATCACTAGCAGTTCTAACAACCGCTTCTTTTACCCACAAGTGAAGAATACCTTTGATGTACCCTGGATATCCATAGGGTGCCTGATGAGATTGTCTTACCAAGACTTACTACTCAAGCGCAAGAGTCGAAACCTGAGAACATGTCTGCCCACCCTATCCTTCATCTTCTAGTTCTCCAATCGACCGGGCAACTACGTACGCCTGCAGTGGCTTATCAGTTGGAGCATGCAGACAACCCTTCCTTCACAATATCCGCAGCTAGGTTCCACTGGTTATACAGGAAAGGACAAAATTCTTCACTGCAAGCATAACCAATCAATGCGGTTTACGTTAGCTACCGAAGCCCAAAGGCCAATTCAACGCCTTTAAGCAGTTTGGCTCCATGTTCCGAACGCCAAGGACGGTGAGAACCAGGTTCGTGCCGGCAATGCAAGGAAGACCCAGTGTTATGGCACGTATCTACTGTTCGTGATTCAAACCCATCCCCGGTTGCTCCTGTCTAGGCTTGCGCAACACGGCAGCACCTCAGTCCCGTGTTCCCTTCGGACGAGATGGCAGCTGAGTGCCGAAAGGGTACGATTGCTGGGAGATCCGTTTCATTTTTGACAAAAGGACTAACTGAACCCTCAACCAAAGCATCTGACTCAAACGCCTGACCACAAGGAGGCGTGCTCAGCTTGAGACTATCATAATGCAACTTCCAAGGAGCATTTTATAGTGCATATTCCAACACCCGACGTCCACTGACCGACCCGGTGAGAGACAATTGTAAGCATAGTTTGATGGTATCACCAGAACCAGTCCTCAGTTGGGAGACATATTTTAGGCCCAAAGGCTGCCGTCACTTCCTAACTTTCGGGATCTGGAGATCAGTCCATCAACTCGCGAGTTTACTGACCGGAAGATCCGTGGTTCGAACCGACTTCCACTGTTTACGCTTGGGCGACCTAGCAGTATCCCAGTCCTCGGGCTTCCTTCTGGTGGTATGGCAGCTAAAGCACCAAAAGGGTGTCACGCGTGGACGATCTTTACATTTCAAAGAGTTTACTGCCGGAAGATCCGTGGTTCGAACCGACTTCCACTGTTTACGCTTGGGCGACCTAGCAGTATCCCAGTCCTCGGGCTTCCTTCTGGTGGTATGGCAGCTAAAGCACCAAAAGGGTGTCACGCGTGGACGATCTTTACATTTCAAACTTTGTCCCCTCTATGAATCCGCCTATCCCAACGTTAAACAAGGAAATCAGCTTTTGCGAGTCGAAAGAGGAGCCTTAGAGCTGACGAAGTTCGAAAACCAGTGCCGAGATCGACCCCGTAACTCATCCAACCTCCCTACACTACAAGGGACCATGGAAATCGGTTCACGACTGAAGGATGGTTGTTCCTACTACTTCGAGGCTTCAACAGCATGCAAGAGGATAGTAATGTAAGTCACAGAAACAGAGGGGATAAAAAAGATAATCTCTTAGCTATAACATCTTTCTTGTGGCCTAGCTACAATGCCACCAGAAGTGTGGTCTAGCTTGTGGCCTAGCTACAATGCCACCAGAAGGGAGCACGAGGGCTGGGATGCTGCCAGGTTGCCCAAGCCCGGACAGGGGAAGTCGAGGCAGGGTTCGGGCTCGGACCACAGACCTTCCGGTCAGTAAGTTCGCGCTCTAACTACTTGAACCACCTCGCCCAACTAGTGAGAAGCAATACGACGAAGGGAGAATTCCTACTCCCCTCTACAGAATGAATGCTGAAAATGCGACATTCACACGGGCAGCGCCTTACAATCGGGGTGACTGGGCAGTTCTTTCGGAGCAATCTGGGGCAACGTACTGCATGCGAACGACTTCGGGACGGCTTTGTTCTTTCAGGAACAACTTTCGAGCAGAACTGTGGAATCGGGGACGTGATTCACAGTCAATCTATTACCCAGTTACTGTCGCCAAGACAGATGTGACCCGAGTACCGTCCGACGAAGGGTACAAAGTGTTTGTGAACTCTTCGAAGCCAAACGATTGCTAACAACTAAGACCCGCTACAAGATGCTGTGGTGGATGAAGTTCCCGAAATACCTTTAAACAGACAGAACGAACGTTTTAGAAGCGTGGTACGGGCCTCATTAGTGGCTAGCCGTAAGTGCAGAAAGGTGACATGGTTCAAATGGATCTTCCAAATATCTATCAACCGAATGTTATCCTGACTTGGTTAAACCAGGTGCCACATACACCGAAGCGGCAATTTTACGTACACGGTGCCCACTCAAGGTTCATGGGAAGAAAACCTATTGGCCGTGGAAATTTCGATCGAACTTGAAGCATCGTACAGAAAGGAGGACCTGCACTGTTGACCGCGAAACGATCGCAATCTATAATCGGTCATGACCATGTTAGGAGATAAGCCGGTTTTAGGAAACTTAATATTAAACTGGAATATGACATCAAAAGCACAGTTATTAAAAATCTGCATCGGTAGTAAACTTGTGAGTCTCTTCTCCGCGAGCCCTTGACATAACTCCTGCGCGCTGATAATCGCCTACCCGCTTTTCAAAGAAGTTGGTCTTGCCTTCGAGCGAGATGTTTTCCATGAAGTCGAACGGGTTGTCAGAGCCATAATGCTGAAAAATTGTATATTATACAAGCAAGTCTCACCTTTTCATGTCCCAGTTCAACCAAAAGCCGGTCCGCAATGAATTCAATGTAGCGACACATCAACTTGCAGTTCATACCAATCAAACTCACCGGCAAAGCATCCGACAGGAAATTTTGTTCGATTTCTACTGCCTCCTTAATGATGGCAAGCACACGATCCTTTGCAGGCTTTTGAACAATGTATTTGTATAACATGCAGGCGAAGTCGCAGTGCAGACCTTCATCTCTACTGATCAGTTCATTACTGAAGGTTAACCCAGGCATCAAGCCGCGTTTTTTCAGCCAAAATATTGCGGCGAAGCTGCCAGAGAAGAAAATGCCCTCGACTGCAGCAAAGGCAACTAAACGCTCCGCAAACGTAGAGTGAGTATCGCCAATCCAGTTAAGCGCCCATTGCGCCTTCTGCGCGACACATTCTAGGTTGCTGATGGCGTTGAACAGGAAATCGCTGCGAGAGTAGTCAATTGGAGAAGCGGAAACCTTACCGTTCTGTTGGATCTTTGATATACGTGTCAATCAGAAGTGAATACATTTCTGAATGTATGTTCTCAATCGCGATCTGCATCCCGTAAAAACACCGAACCTCCGGAACTTGAACTTCCTGACTGAAACGCTCGACCAGATTCTCTAGCACTATTCCATCGCTTGCAGCAAAGAATGCTAACACATATGAGATGAAGTGACGCTCGCCGACCTTGAGACTATCCCAATGACCAAAATCCTTGGAGAGATCAACCTCTTCAACGGTCCAAAACGATGCGACTGCTTTCTTATAAAACTGCCAAACATCGTGGTATTGGATGGGGAATAGAACAAATCGATGCGGGTTTGGTTTCAACAGAGGTTCCAGTTCTAACTCAGGTTTGGATACGGAATGCGTTTTCTCGTAACTGACTTCCTGTCCACAAAAAGTACTAAGGGACACGAAGCACTCATACCTTACTCGGCTTTTCCGAAATTTGGCAGTTTTTCTGTGTTGAGAATATTGAAAAGAAAGTAACAAACCTTACCACAAACTCAGCCAGTTCATTCTCTTTATTCACTTCCGACAGCATCACCAAGAGGTACCGAGCAAGCGAAACTGGCGCCTGTGCACCCGAACCGCAAAAGCAACACACTAAAACACAGCAGAGTGAACGGGTCACTCTAAATGGTTGTTGTCATACTCTCGACCGAATCAAAGAATGGGCCGTGAAAGACAACTGGAGTAAGTTTAGAGCACACACTAACTTCCCGAAGTGAGAAATTTTTTAACTTTATAAGAGCGAGCGCTCCGAGCTTGAGATTTTACCATGTCCCAGCCGCGTATTGCTTAGATCGAACGTGAAATGCCTGTCGGCCAAACCGTAGTTAAAGAAGACGCAAGCCTTACACCACCCGGGGACAACGATAGTCCAGGAACAAGAGCCTGAGCGTTTTGAGAAGCGCTTCATAATTAACGGATTAGAATCATGAACCATCTTCATAAAAGCTTGTTTGGCACGCTCAATGAAAAGGACCCATCTCTTGCGTACTGAGTAAAAAACTAGGTTGGACTATTCAAGAATCGGTTTGACATAGGCCCGATAGAGTATCTGGAAGTCGGGGCGAGCAGTACGAGGGAAATTGGACCAAATCCTTCGAAGAACGACGATTGTCTTTTGGGTTGATTTTTCATGGTGAGAAGGGCGAGTTTAAAGAGAGCCGGTACCTAGACACTTTTTAGTATCTGGCCTGGTAAGGACGTTCATTCTCACGTATACGACAAAATAGTTAGCGGAACAACAAATAAACGCTATTTCTGTCATTCAGGGGAAGATACTAATGAAGTGGCCACTGATTTGCACCGGTGCAAATTGCCCAAGAGATCCGGCACGCTGGAAATCTATCCAAGAGGAAGGTGAGGATGACCCACCAGGAAAAGATCTTTAAGTTAAGTTGGTTTAATCTGTAAGAGTGTAGACCAAAGATTCGCATGAGAAACAGGTCGTATTCCGGCAGATTTTATTTGCAACGGAAGATGACGCCGAGAAAAGTGTCGGTCCAACGCAGCAGCATATAAATCCATGGTGCTTCGCAAAAGAGTGCGGGAGTGATGTCGAAGCTAAGAATCTGAGATGACAGGGCCACATTTTATTACCGATCAGTCCCACTTGCCTATCCACGTTTTGAGTCAGCTCGGAAAATGGAGCAACTATCAACCGGGATTTTGTCACCAGAGGTGTCTGGTGTGGACCGAGTCCCTGTAAGCGCGACTATGAACAGCACTTCAGTTAAATCGCCATTGGACGGGTACAGAAGCTACACTAGATATACGCGCGTACAAAAGGTCAAATGTTCGCAGACTGAGAGTGACGAAGGCTGTCATTCTCAACACCTGGTGTTGGTGTAGCAGGGGATTAGGGCGGTATCTATGTGTAGAGACATGCGTACGAATAATTTCCACCTGGAAAATGAGCGAAATCCGGTCTAACCAAATAACAGATAACTTTACGTAATCACCCGTGAAGCATGCTAACGAGTTGTCTCTGATAGCTAATGTGGAAACGATGTTCAACAGACGACTAAACGGAGAGAAAGAATAGAGATGGTTGGCCCTCCATTAATCGCTCCTTTGAAAGTACGCAGTGATAGGGTGGACATGGCAAGCGTGGAGACCGCACTCGTCTGAGTGAAACCGTCATACAGTAAAAGATTTTTCTGCTCAGCGGTGTCCAATGTAAAATGCCCTTACGCGAGTGTCCATATGGCCGGGAATTTGTTGGATGAGAGGGCGAGTTTGGTTTTTTAAGAGACAACCGGTGTCGATGGACACAGAGAAGTAGCAATGACTGAGTATAAATAGTCTTACGTGACCCAATCTCTCAGGATAGGATGCGTTGCTAGTGCTGGATGCTGACTGTGACGTCGCACTTGATATTCCCCAGTATATTCCCGCTGGGCTCCGGCCAAATCGGTCAGAAAGGCCTGCTATGTTCTAAGAAAGGCCAATTACATTAGCGATTAAAGGTATGAAAACTGTTTTTTTCTGGGTGAGAGAGCTTTCTGTAGAAGAACCCGCCATCGTGATAACAGTTTTGAGCAGCAAAAATAAACGAGGAATGTTGTCTGTCAAATAAACTCCAGGATTTTCGTCGTGTGTTTTGGAGTCCTGCTGGTAACGATGGACTTGAGAAGTTCCAGTGTGCTTGACAGGATCGACAAGGCTTCCAATGAGCTACACGAAAGATGGTTATTCGGAATCGGCTGGTGGCAGATGCCAAATGTATTAAGAACGGTTGTGGCCATCTGGACAATACCTTCAGTTCGGCAGACGGCGTGTGATGCGAGCGAACGACGAGTTTCTGAGGTGCTCCACCGGTGGTATGGAAAGGAATGGAAAATCGCATCATCCTAAGGCAAAGTTCGGGGGTGGAAAACAAGCCAGCCAATAGGATACCGGTCAGCGAAGGCCCGAGCTTTTTCGACGATCGGGACTCATCTGGATCGTGTTAAATGCCTCCAGGAAATAAAAGCTACCCTCCATTTCTGGGTCATTTTGTAGTAACTGGCAGTGAGACACTTTAGACTGGCTGAAATGGAGCACACAGACGATATGATGTATGTAGGTGGGAGGCAATCGCGTGGCAAGACCGACATTCCCACAGGTGGTGGACGCGAGGCCCAATGTTATGGGTACTTGTGGTTACCGTTGGCCTGAAGACTGATCAAGCAGTTTGGGGTGGTTAGCCCCAGGATTTTGATAGTACTTTCACTCTCTGAGAAGGCAATACAGGGCTGGCTATGTTTTGGTCACCTGGGTGAGGGTGGGATTATTCAATAACGCAGCAATTCCCATTACAGTATGGTAGTGTCAACTTAGCCGAAAGGAGAGCGGATTGTGACCAAATTTATCACGGAGCACATGCTTGCGAATAACAGGCCTACAATGTGAGGCCCCAGCTCAGAGCCAAAGCCAGTTGGGCTACAACACTAATGGTTCCATCCACTGTCAGATGGACTGTTTATGAGAACAAAACCGATACCAGAACTTGAGACTGTTAGTGATGAAGAAGTTGTAGCGCTTCAATGTGGAAAGCGGACGGGATTGGGTGGAGATATATAGTTTTCGCGAATAGCTAGGGGGCAACAATAGACAAAGCAAATCAAGGGCTTATCCGTGTCTAGTAATTTGTGATAGCCAGTTCATGACACTTCTTTCTAGAAAACTGCAAAGGCTCGTAAGCCGGTGTCAAGTGAGGAGACATGAAGAGAACAAGTTCAAACAGCTGGAAAATTTTGGGCGTCGCCCTGGTACAACCTGCATGTTTGCACAAGAATGAGGCTTTTCGTGGTATTAGATACAAATTACAAGATGTGATGCTGTAGCGGACATTTCCATGTCCCCTCAACCAACTTCACTTAATTTGTCCAGTACATGGGTGTTTACTAGGTCCCGCGACTTACCTGCTACACAAGCACACAAGTCACGTGACAAACGCCGTTCCACCCGCAACCTCGACCGACTACAAGTCAGTTCCTGTCTTGTACGTATCGGAACGATTCATAGTTTATACACACATCAAACTTTCCTATATATAGGAAGCGACAACACAGTCAACACGCACAGACTCGCGCGCGCGCACGGAGCAGGACGTCAACCTCTCCACAAGTCCACGGACAACCATGGAGTACGTGTAGCAGTCTAACTGCGGAGAAAAACACGTTCCCGCCGTCCGGACTTCCACCAAGGGACTCTCGCATCCGATAAGTTCCCTTTTTGACTTGCACCCATTTCACATTGTATTTATTTTTATACGTGTCGCAACCATGTTAAAAACTTCTATTAGTGCACATTCACCTTCTGAGTTGTATTATGGCTATCGCCACCTGTGCACTAATAATGCCACAGCTGTGGGCACCAGGGTAAAAACGGGTTGCAGGCACGTGACCCAAATGGAGGGTGTCTCACCCTTGTAATGATAATGATAGTGCTTACTCCCAATTTGCTTGTGGATTACCATCGGGCAAGATCATAACGTTTCAGTCAGAATAAAAGTATGACTGGCGGCGCTTATGGGCGAAAGGGGTTTAGGACAAGTGGTAGCATCATTCGAATTTCAAGGTCAGGTGTTGTAAAAAATTTTTCGGTACCCTAGCCCCAAGTAGCGCTCTACTTACTCTAGTATGGCATTTAGCTACCTATTTTAGATATCTCATTTCCAATCGCACCCAACCACACCTCCAACTCTTTATAGGTTGATTAGGCCCCACTGAGTGTAAGCTTGCTAGCATAATCCCACTAAGGCTTACTATTACCTGATTTGAATCAAACAATGTTGCCCCCCCCATCTTCCTCCGAGCGCTTACTAGACTCTGACTCCCCATCTTCCGTCCCCTCATTATGTCCAAAGAAACGCCTCGCGGGCAAAAGGCCATCATCCTTCAAGGCCGATCGATAGATTGCCCCGCTTAAATTCAACCTGCTCATTTATACTAACTGACATTTCCCTTCCGGCTGCAACCGGTAGCTGTCTCCCCTCCTGCTATCTTGACAGCATGTAACATGCACGACAGTCTCTACAGCCCGACGGTTGCGAAAATCGAAACTCTCCTTGCGCTGCCCAATGCTAACGCAATTCAGAGATGAAGACGATGCAACGCTCCTGTTAACATCTCAGGCCCTTCTCGACCCAGACATTCCAGACCGCAAAGGTCAAGGCTGCTCGCACCAGACTACA